AAAAGAAATTGAGTATTTAAGAAAAAATGTGGATAGCAGTTCAGAGACAGAAGAAAAACTGAGAACATAGAGTTATAATTATCTACAGCACAGGAAAAGATATCAGTTTGAGTGCTGAAAGGAGGGGTGTGAGGGAAGAGACAAGTAGCTTAACATTTGGTGATGGCCTAAGGGACAAACTTCTCTGACGATGAAGACACCGAATAGTTAATAAAGCTTCTGAACTGTTTCCAATTCTCAGACAAGGAAGCAATAGTTCTGCTCTTATCAGCAACTGCTCTTTCATATTTGTGTATCAAGCTAGCTTTATTAAATTATTCAGCAAAGGTCAAATGTGATGTGTCTTCCTAGTTTTATTATGATTTTTCATGACATTGCCTGAGTAGTTGAATAATAAACAGTGCATGTCAAAAAGCTACAGTGCTTGAGATATCCACAGGCGCCCTGAATTATAAACCTATTCAGTCATCAATTCTGAGGCAACATAAATGCATTAAACAAAGTTTCAAACTATATGTGAACAGGGCAATGCGCTGCTCTTGGAAACATGACAGCAAAGCAGAAACAAGCCCCAGCCATACATACGCGTAGAGATTTTGAAGCCTGCTTGCATGATAAATAGTAGGTTATTGCCTCTATCCCATTCTGGCTAACCAGCTCACTAGCTGAAGACTCCCTAAAGCACTTTGCTCCTTTTGACTGATGAGAACTGCCCAACCTACGATGAGCTGCCCAAAAACGCTGTGAGGGAACAGGTAAATGAAAAGCCAACAGATCAAAGGGCCTATTGCCTACAACGGCCGCAAAAACAGGTTCCGGTTTTGGTTATTTTACAGTAGATGAAGATCTCAAGCAGATTCAGATCAATCCTATGATTCCATGCAAATGAATGCATTGAATGATATTATGTTATTCTGTATGTAATTATAACTAGCATAGAATAAACTGAAAGACCCACAAGACTTTTTCAGGCACTGGGAATAAGCACTGTGATGTTGTGAATGCACAAAATACATATCTAATGTTAAATGAATAAAAATTTAACAACTAAGTGCAGATGTTCATGTTATTCATATTGCTATTTTTGTCCAGCCCTAGGCAATATCTAGCAGTCATCGGAAGAACCAAAAGAAATTAAACTTGGGATCTTCTAATCAGAAGGCAAGTTTTCTTACAATTATTAAGTGGGCAATAGACTATTGTAGGAAATAATACAAAGAGGTTTATGAAATCAAGATGTTCTAGGCTTTTGATAGTCTCATTGATATCGCTTTGAACTCATTTCTTGTCATTTTAAACAGAAATACCTTTTGGTAAACTACTTCATAGGCTTAAGATCAGAAGACTTTACACACAGAAAACACTGAAGACTCATGGTTAGTAACATAGTAGAAATGTATGCTTTACATATTAGCAGTAACCAACAGCACTCTGACAAGAGAAAATCTATTTCTTACATCCATGAAAACATAGCAGAGTTTATACATAAAAGAAACAATTTGCATGCTGTAGACTGTCCTGTTTCTTCTGAAACAAAATTTAATTATATCCTTGCTACGTAAAGGATCAGTGGCATTTGATTTGGGATTTCCAAAATTAAGTAACTGTTTTTTCATTAAGTTTGGAAATCTAGGTTTCAGACTGACAAACAGATTTTATAAATTTGAATTTGCACAGACCTAAACCTACAGATTAAAAATCTAGCTCTAGTATCACGTATATGCAGAAATAGCTTTCCAAGGGCACAGATGCCATTTAACAATCAGGGAGATTTTGTAGCTTCAGATACTCATTTTGTGCTTCTCAAAACAGCTGTAGAGAGATACAGTTCAGCAGCATTTGTCACACAGGCAGACATGAGACTTTGTAGTAATATCCAGTAGAGAAACATGTGTGATTATTACCGAGAAATGTTTATTCATGGATTTTGTTTAAATGGCATACATCAAATTATCCAGGGAAAATAGGTGGTAATGAACCATTAAAAAATAATTTTTTGTAGCTCATTCATTAAATAATACTATCCATGCTCAGCAAAAGGATTAGTAACATATACTAACACAAATATATGCCGGAATGCATGTATTGGATATTTTGACGGTACCTGTAGATAGAGGAAGAAAAATTTTAAAAGTAGAGTATAAATTTAAAAAATACGATTCTCAGAAGTTCCCGATCAGACCACTTCTTGTAACTGCGAGATGGACAGTTGATTGAGCTGCTGTTATTATTTCCTTCCAAAATATGTAACTTCCAAAAATGGAACAGCAGAAGGGCCCCAAGATCCATCTTTTTGCACTCTCAGCAGGTACCTTTTAGACTCAGTTGGCTGCAGCACATGCCTCCAAGCTGGCATCGTGTCAAATGCTGTACCAATGTCACAAGCAGCCTAACACCACTCGAGTGTTTAGGATTCATATTCCAGAACTCCCCCGCCAAGAACCTCTACAGCTTTGATTTTGATAACAAACAGCGATCAACATTACTCAAAGTAATCCTTATAGCTCAATGAAAGATTCCTAATGGCATATCATAAATCAGAAAACTGATCTTAATCCCTCTGCCCTGGACTCCTCACTTCCTCTGAGGAGAGCTCATCCCAGGCCCCCTTCTCCAAGGCTTGCCTGCAAGGGGGCTGGATGATTTTCTCCTCATGTGCCTGTATCCAGGCTCTCCTGCTTGGCATTAACCTGTCAAGCAAAAGTGCTCAGGAGGAAAACACCAAAAGAGTTCAGAGACACTCAAATAAGGATGAAGGCAGCCCAACACCAGCGCTGTCTAGTTTCAGGTCAGGAAAGCACCTTACTGCTAGCACTGAAAAAAATAAAAATAATAATAACCACACTCTGTCTACCTCCCAAGCTGCTGTAATAGTAAAGGAGAAAGTGCCAATGTGGCATGCAAAAACCCTGCAGAGGAGTTTTGCCTTAAAAGTAAAGCTGAAATAAAGGTACACCCCATTCGAGAAGGAGCAATCATACAGGCATCATACACTTCCAAACTGCGCAAGCAGGCTTTTATCTTCTGCTTCACACCAAATATATTTGGGGGTGGGAAGGTTTACTTGACCTTTGTAGCAAGCCCAGGACTCTAGACAAATATCAATAGCTGAGTCCTCAGAGAAGGAAAGGGACACAAAGGAACATTGAAAAAAAAATCAGAAAATAAACAGTTTAGAGCAGGGAGAGGGTAATAAGAGACTTCTACATTTTAACTGTCACTGTAGCTAAAAGTATAACAGAGAAATATAACCCGAAGGAAAAAGAAAAAAAAAAACCACTCTTCTCCATTTTCAACTTTTTCTTTTTTTTTTTTTTTTTTTTTAAACTATCCTCTTTCCTTATAGACGCCTGGCAAAGGCACAACACTCCTCTGATTTGTTGAAAAGATGCACTGGTACCGATGCTTTTTGAAAAACGCATAGCTGATTAACAAGCACGAAGCCGAGCAGCACGTTAGCAGTACCCGGGCACAGGGGTTGCCGAAGGCTACCACAGCCTTTGGATGCGTGCAGAATACGCTTACATAATGAATACAGCTCGAGTTGAAGATAACATGGTTTATTTTTTCATGATATTCAGATTAAAATGTATCAATGTATTTAGCACAATACTACATTTTAGGACAAAATCATCAGTGCTTTGCAAGTCTTCATAACTGTTTATTCATTATAAATAGTAAATATTTACTGAACTTTTTACATGAAAGACGTTTTTTTTACAACACGTGTGTTGTTGGTAGAGGCTGCAACACAAAGATAGTATTTCATTTTTCCATCACCCTTAAGACCAACGTGTGAACTAATCTCTGTACTGAACCTAATCTAACTCACTACTTCATAGTCCTTAACGCTAGAAGGAATGTATTTGTGTTCTGCCTCCCTCTTTTGTTCCAAGAATAGAGAGAAATAAATAACACCGCCTTCCATCTTCCTCTTCCTCTCAACATCACAAAACACAAATTTATTGACATTCTAAAATGTCACAATGCAAACTTCTTGTAAACCTTTGTTCCTATTATTATTTTCTATAATGGATATCACTGTATAATTTAAACAAATGTGTCAAATAAGGACCATTTCTGTTCAAGTCCTGTACTTAACCCAAAAAAAAAATGTAAACGTAATCATTTATCTGTATTGTTTCCTGAAAATGACCTTTAAATCACAATAAGCAAACTGGAATCTAGTTGTCCAGCACACTGCAATGTTTCTGTATTTTATAATCAGGAAATATGCAATGCAAAAATAAAAGTACCTGCAAAAATATAGTTCTGATTCTATCTATATGACTTTGGATGATCCCAAAGTTTGTGTGAGGTACACAGTATTGCACATTGTTAGGCAGTTGTGAAAAATCAGAGTCACGTTGTTGATTTTTATCTTGTTTGTTCCAAAAAGATAGCAGAGACTAGGAAAACTCCACATACAAAAAGGCTGTAATCTGGTTGTCATATTACACAAGAGCTTGTTTGCTGGTAAAGCAAAACTTGTAAGTGACATTTATTGACAATACAATTACAAAAGCATGGTAAGATAACCAATAAGTTACTCTGGAAGTTTTTGCACTCATCCTAGCTTCCTAGGGACTGTGACATTTCCTCTTGATGACAATTTCCAGTGTGTAAAATGAAAGAGATTCTGCTGCCCATGCTTCAGAAAATGAGCACTTTTAAGCTAGACTAAAGTCAGCATTCGTTGTCAGATGAGTCAGAGTACGCAGAGTTCAACTGCTAATTTTCAAAATTCTCTACTTGTCCCTATCAATGCACATTAATTTCAGCAACAAAAAAAAAAAAATGGAATGTTTTGCCAGGCAGTGCTATTAAATACTGCTGTTTCGTATACCCTTTTATAGTGAACCATGTTGCATTTATTTATTCGTTATTGCTTTTGGCCTTTGTCTTCTATATAATTTTGTCCAGCCTTCAAAAGTCTACTAAAAGCAATGACTGGAGAGAACATAAGCCTGCTTCTCTCATTGGGATTGCCCCAGTTTAGGCTGCAGTGTGGTGAGAAGATCCCTCATATCCAAGCATTGGAGTGAGACCGGAAAACAAGACCAGCTTTAACTTGAAGTGGACAGTTCATTTATGCAATATCTGGCTTCAGATAATGAAAGGCACCTGCAAAAAAAGCAAAAGAAGCTTTTTAAGTCATGCTGTGACAACCTCACAGCATGGGGCCATGCCAACTACAGGTTGACACTGTCATATTTAATACTGATATATCAAAGGAAAGGGACTAATATTTTTATTTCTAGGACAAGTTTGACAAAACTCTATGTATCTGGGATTATATGCTATAATGATTCTTGAGCTGACCTCATTAAGAACATGTGTTTCTAATAGTGGAATGCCAGTGGTTATTTCATTTTGGACAATCCTTATGTTTTACCTAATGGCAATCAGGTTTCATGTCTCAACAATTAATAACATCAAGATGTTGTTGACATCACTTAAGAAAATAATTATGCAGCAGAAATCTTGCTTGAACAATCAGCTATCTCACCAGCACGCTCAGCCCTGTTTCAGAGAGAAGCAGTAGTCAGACATTAGGATCTATTTTCATGATTTTCTTCGTTGCAACCAGAAAATACAGATCGTCACTAAGCAGTTACATTATCATACTTCACCATGCAAAGGTCCCAATACTCACTTTGTCCATACTGTCCGTACTGGTACCCAGTGACAGGGTCCATGCTGTAGCCCGTGGTGCTGTAGGTTGGCGGGCAGTAGGACTGGGACGTGGGCAGGCTGTCCAAACTTTTCATGTGCTCTAGCCGCTGACTGCAGCTGGCTGACACTGTGGTGGTGGGCTCGAGGCCCCCAGTTAAAGGGGACAGGGCATAATCGGTTTGAGGCTGGTGAGGCACACCACCATGGTTAGTCAAGAGTCCCATTACCTAAAATAAAAGGTATAATAACAGAAAGAGTTAAAATACATGAAGAATTGTATTGCAAGCAGAGCAGCAGGCATACTGAAGCCTATCATTTATTTTCCAAAGATAGGCAGACTTTCTATTCAACCTATGCTTTGGGTAGCTAATCCAAAGAGGGATAAAAAGTGGTATCATTCACCAAAAAACCCACCACACACGCACACACAGACGGCTAACAATCCAGAAAAAGTGATATGCAAATAAGGCAAAATAAGGAATGAAGCAAATAAGGAAAACTAATTTTAAAATCTTTTCAGATTCTAGACTGGCTAATCATGTGTCCCAGCTAGGACTTCAACAGGTGTTTATTCTTCAAGGTTATGATATAAGAGACCAAGAAACAGATAGTGGTCCTTTAGTCACACTCATGCAGTTGTGCATGGTCTACAAATGCAGGAAAGCTGTGAAAAAGCTCACACGAGTATTTGTTCTGAGGTCAGTTATTACTAAAATTAAATGAATTTGGAGTGGATCACAGCAACACTATCAGTCAATGGGAGTTAACAAAGAACCCCAGCACCTGGGAGAACAGGAGTATGCCAAGAAAGGGCAGAGCAGCTAAAACTCATGCTGCTACTGTATGCACTGTGCGCTGGTCTGTAAAGAAATAAAGAGGAAAGTACTGGTTGAGGCAAGAGCCACAATACCAGTTTTCTACTAATCCTCTCAGAGAGGAGAACGGAAATGGTCTGGCTTTCCAGACTCACTTCAAGTTGACTGTGACTCCCTTAATAAGCTTCTCCTATATAAGCAGTTTTGAAAGCAACATGATCAAGGGTAGTGGAAAAAGAGATTACTGGGAAAAAAAACATATCCATCTCTAGGCAGCAATTTCCAAAAGAAAAGCAAGGAGAGAGACTTTAAAAGCACCTATGCTTTTGAGCAGGAGGCAGGGAAGCTGTTGTAAATTCCTGACTCACAAACACCTCCTCATGCTAGAGGAGGATGTGTTCCCTTCCCAGCACACCCCTATAGCAACTGCTATAGAACTGTTTCCTTCTGTTGCATTGAAGTGCAACTTATTGCCTGAAAAATGATCTGCAGGTTATAACTGAAAGACAGCGTACAGCTTCCATCTAAACAGCATATTCTTATAATTTATAGGTTGTCTTTCACAGAATCACAGAATGGCTGAGGTTGGAAGGGACCTTTGGAGATCATCTAGTCCAAAATCATCTTTCCTCCAAATCACCTTTCCTCCAAAAAAGCGTTACAAACATCTGACATAGGCTTTTTGATAATTTTTTACTGCACTTCTTACCATAACCTACAAAGAACTGATTAAAATAGCAATCTATTTTGTAAAGACTAAATCTATGCTCATATGAGCATGTCTGGTTCTTAAAGTTCTGATATTCCCTCTTGAATTGTATTCATTTTCCACTGCAAAGTAAGAGAGATTACTGTTGTAGGGAGCTCATGATCCTGGCTCTGCCAGCTCTGAGTTTTGTTTGTTTTTTAATAAAGGAAACAAACCCCAGGGATCATAATTTAAGTAGAAAGGAAGACATACCCAGGTCTTGCATGTCTGATAATGGAACGAGCAAGAGGCATAAGTGGAGTATTTAAAAAAAAAAAAAGTGACACCCAGATGCCTGCATCAAGAATACAAAACATCTCTGCATCACTTGCACCCAAGACATCCCACAGAGAGAAAGAAAGAAAAGAGAGAGAAAAGTAGAAAGGAGAAAGTTCAACTTACTACTTACAGTAATAGAATTTCCACTTGTGTTTCAGTGAGCAGAAAATTACACTTTAACTGAAGATATTTTCTGAATGTTTCATAATCTAAAGTATTCATTCAAAAGGAGAAGTTTCAAAATATGCCCAAAGACTTCCTTTCAGGTTACAAGTAGCGTTCTACTCAATTCAGATCACCTTTTCGATGCACAAAACCTATTAAAAGAATTTGAGGCTAACAAAAAGCTATTAAAAATTCTTTGGAATTGCCACAGACTGAAAAATCACGTTAGCACAGCAACCTGCACAGCATGTCGTCTGCCAAATCTCTAAAAACTGAAATAACTGGAATCTCAAATTTTTCTCCTCTAAATTGGATCCTAAAAAGTGTTGAAATTTCTGAAGACTACTCTAATAAGTTTTTCCACTTTAGGAACTACCAATATTTTTCTTGTCCCTTTGGAAAATTACATGCTCCTGATAATCGAGCATACTTAATGATCCGATATTGCATCAGCAGGACACAGATATATTAGAATCTGTGTTCTTTTTACACTAAATTAATCTTCATCCTTTAAGATTAACACTAATGGATTTAAAAGAACAAAAAAAAAAATCCACACACAAAAAAACCCACACAGCTTAAGTCAACATTTACATTGAAAATTACTACTCTGGAAAATATTTACATTGGCACAAGTATTATAGTTTTTACTATGTTTTAAAACACACATGGCTTTATCAGAAAACTGAAAGTGCACAGCCCTTTCCATTCCAGTACAGCATCTATGAGACTGTTATTTACGGGGCTTTACCTTGTTCTGTGTCAAGTTTAAGAGCAGGGAGAACAGGCTGGGCTTGTGCCGCCCCACAGAAGTCTTGGTGGCAATCTTCTCCACAGGACAGCTCTCAGGTTGTTTGTTTGTTTGTTTTTTTAAATAACTGATTGCAGAGATAGATATTTCATCAGGTACTACCTGACAAAATACACTAAAGTAACTAGACTCTTTTCTGTTTAATGATTTCATTAGAACAGAGCCCAAGACGACATCATTTAAACTTTGACAGCAAAAACGTGAGCTCAAAAATGTTGGGATTGATCCAGCAGTTTAAGTTATTTTAGAGTTAGAGATTAGCCTTGAAATTTAAATTTGAATGCAGACGCTGCCTCAAAACCACCAAAATGTTAGTAGCATCTATATCTAATGCCTTAGATGAGGCCAACTTCCAGATGATTAATCTTCTCTAACACACTAAAATTAGCATTTGATGAGTTTTAATTTAAAAATTTAAAATTAACCACATAGTAACACAAGTCTTCAGGCATCTTTTTATTAAGTGCATATGCATCTAATAACTCAGACACTTTTGAGTATAACCAACAAACACAGCACTGTCTTTGAGACAGAGAAAACTGAAGTCTGAACAGTAACCATCTTCTCAGAAATATCTTCTTCAGAGGCCTTAGGAATCATCCTGCAGTTGATTAGTATCTAAATAATTAGATTTTTGGTCATGTCTGTTTTGAAAGCTATAAGGGAAGTAGCCTCAAGGCAGAAGTCTTTCGTATGGTATGTGCCATGACCTTATCACCCATACAAGGAGTTACAGGAAGGGCATAGCTGACTTTCACCTAATCAATTAGAAAGCCATTAATGGGCCAGTTCTGCAAGATGCTCAGCACCCTCAGCCTAGCAGCGTACAGGAGACACACGAAGATTTAGATTTCGCAGGTCCGATCTTCTGCTGGTATGAAACAAACACATCAAATTGTTTTGTAATAATTAAGGAGCAAAAGAAATTTAATCAGCCCATACGTGATCCAGGTATAACATGTTCTTCACTCTAGATTAGCTTGGGAAAGCTGAAATGACAGCTGTCACCCTCACTGATATGGATCCCAAAGGAGGAAAACTGGGGGGGGGGGGACAAACAAACAAAAAAAAAGAAAACAAGGGCTGATCTAACATCTAGAGCCAAGCGCTGCTCTAACTACTCAGAAGAACTCCTATAAATGCCAAAGATCAGGTTGTAAGGTTTTTAGTTACATGGTATCTTTTGTTCCCAACTAAAATAAAAACCACCCAGAAGGGCTGATGTGTAGCCTCTGAGCTTTCGTAACAACAGACAGCATATACAATAATTATATTCTATTAGAAACCAAAGCTGCATTTAGGAATAAGCAAAATGAACGCAGTGAACTGCAACAACCAAACTACAGAAACGCTTTCGGGGGAGCACTTCCCAAACAACCTCAAAAATTCATTAGGACAAGTCCCTAGCCGGTGGGATCAGCACAACATCACTAGATGAGGGTATGATCCAGAAAGAGGAGGAGAAATTGAATGATGAAAGCTTTCAAAATGTGTAAGCAACATCTGGTCCATTATCAGCTATTATAGAAAATACTTCTATTATCAACAAAATAAAGGCTATTAAACTGAGAAAAAGCTTATTCCATTTAAATGAAACATTATGCCTGTTAATGTGGTTGGTATTTTAGGATGTAGGACCTACCATAGGCACAATAAAATTCTCATATGTTTTAATTCATTTACGCATGCCTGCATTTAATATGCTTTGTGACCATGTCTGCAATTAATATGATTTATGAGAAAAGAACATGTGCAATATTTTTCGGGTACAGTGATACATTTTTTCCCCCCTCCTGTGAATGAAAGATTTAATGAAACAGCTCAAGGAAAATTGTTGGCAGTTAACGTATTAAGTTGAACTGACAGAATCACGAGTAAACTTTAGTGGAGTTAATGATATCCTCTTATCTGACCCTGACACATTTGCAGCATGTAATTTACAGAAGCTCTGTCCAGGGAATCCTGACAAATGCTCCTAACGATGTCAGGGCAATGTTCCATTCTAATGGGAAGCAGATGTGGGTCAGATACCCTCATTCATCACTAACACTGAAAATTTCAGACTCCTCCTAAGATGAATGGCATTACCTGCTGCTAACTCTTTTCACTGTAGAAAAGTCCCTCAAAAGCAAAACATCGCATGAAGAAGAGCGCTTGAAAAGGCTAGTTTTACTACAAGGTTTTAGGCTAATTCGAATTAATTAGCTACATGGATCTGTACCTAGAATGATGTTGCTGGTTCATTTTATAGATCTACGAATATTTCTGCCCTATAAAGAAAAAACGGCAAGCACTGGGAACCAAATCATCCATTAATGTAAACAGGAGCAAAATACATCGACTTTGAACGTCTGATGATTTGACCTTCCACATACTCAAATCAGATGAGACCTCATACCAATTTCACAC